ATGTCCCCTTCGGTCCGCTCCAGCATCGGCCAATCAAAACCGTTTATGCAATTTCCCGTGTTGGCTGCTGACTTATTTTTAATAGCCTTTTAATCTGCTATCATTTATGTGCTAAAGGAAATAAACAATAAATCTCCATTTGAAATAAGAGCAAAGCGTAATAGTTTGCTCAGATTTTGAAGCACTAGAAGAGCAACAAGCAACATATTTTCTCTTCATTGTTACAGATATGACAATGTAATTATTGTTTAATTATTAGCAATAAATCAATCTTATCAATAATATTTTAATGTAAAGCTAAAAAGCCTATTTCTAAAGGATAACTTAACTGTTCTCAGTTCATCAGAATATTTTAAATAGAAATTCAAGTCTTCTTGATTCACGAAGAGGTCTGTCTGTCTTTACCACTCTTGAAAGTGGGAAAGAGAGGAGAACATCCTTTTCAAGTAAGAAAGATATGTGCCAGTCCTCATGAGATGGGAAACGGCAACAGGAACTTGCCTAATGTTACTCATATCTGTCGTCAGAGCAATAATTACAAAGCTTAAAACATCAAGAACTGTAAAAACAGGCTGCATGAGGAGTCGAGTTTATGTTTGCCACTATAGATGGAGCAAAAGATGCAAGGTTTTAAAAAAAGAAAAATATTCTGCTAAGCTCACTGAGCAGCACCATAAAATGGCAAAATACCAAATCTCACAATTTGCTGTTTACATGCTGAAGGAAACCCTCACCACATAGTTCAAATACATTTCTGAAGGGCATTTTCAGTATTTTGCTGGATTGGGACTAACTGATCATTTGGTGTAAATGTAGGGAGGTTTGGAGACTCAGAACAGATGTTCTGTCTCAGGACATCAATTTTCTGAGCCAAATGCAGATCCCTCCAGACACTACTTAGGCTAGAGAAAAGAAAATCGGTCAAATAGAGGAGAAGTGAGGAGAATAAGAGATGAGTGAGGTAGAGGTGCGGAGTGATGAAGGAGGAAGGGATGGACATCCGAGGATAAATGGAGGGCGGGGTTTAAGAAAAATGATAAACAGTGCTGATTAGAAGAGACCGGATGCTGGATTGAGTGAAGCTGACTCCAAAAGGCCTTTTCTGTCCTCCCACCAGAAACATAAATGAGTTGCTTTTGTTAAACTTTACCAAGTGCTTTGACCTGAGAAGAAAAGCATTAAGCTTTCCACCAAAACACCCAGGGGACGTGGCATTAGACAAATGATTAATATGTGGGGAAGCACCACTGTTTAGTGTAGTGGATGATCTGTGATGCTGTTGGCTTGTTTTATGGGAACTTGTTCAAATAACTGGTTTGTCACTGTAGCCTGAAGTGAGGCGACTGTGGTTGTATGGCAGAGTAGTCGTCTTGCGATTGGAAGGTTGTAGGTTTGATTCCAGCTTCCACATGGCGATGTACCTCTAGGCAAGGCACCTAACCCCACATTGCCTACCGATCTGTGTATCGGTGTATAAATGTGTGTGCGAATGGGTGACTGTGACTCCAGGTCAGTCCATTTACTGTTCCATTTTGAAGTGACCCAGTTCTGATTTTTTTTTCTTTTATTTGCGTAATGCGACCTTTATCTGATCTTTTCATGACAGTCTGAACAACACAGGTCAAATCTTTTCAAATGAGACCTGAGTCACAACGGCCAGGTCCTGAACGTCATTGATACTCATCACTGTTTTGCGTCCTGATATGCCCAAGCGGGAATAAATAAAACCACAACCATGGCGGATTATGATGAGGATTAAGTAGTTAAAGTGCTGACTCTGGGCAGAAAACTATTTCAAAATTGTAAGCTATGCTTCACTGTCAGCATCCACGTTTACTTCTGCAAACACTCGCCGCTACTTTTTTTTATAGTGGTTGGTAAAACAATCAGCATGCTCTCTGATGTGTTATTGCAGCCTCTTCTGCACATGCGGGACACTTTCAGGTCGTCTGCCGTTCACACAGGAGATCGCATACAGGTTGCGAACGTTTGGACGTGTGAATGATCACAGCAAAAAATAAATAAAAAATCAGATTTCACATAAAATTGGAATTGGGTCACTGCGGACTGCAGTGTGAACGTAGCCCTAATACAAAGTAGCAAAGAGACAAAAATAATCTATCTTTAATGCTTATTTAGACTGATTGTTTTAGATAATTGGTCAAACATACCTTTTTCTGAATGCATAAACTTGCAGACATAACAATGCTCATTGCTGGTATGTGTGAGTTGTGCTGATAAAAAGAAAATATGAAACCAAAAGATAATTTTTTCTTAACAAACATTATTTGTCCCACTAAATCATGAACTCAGATTAAAGACTGGATTTTTTTTTTAAATTTAGTTTACTATAATTCCAGTAAAAGATGAGTTTTCCATTGTAACATGCATAGTGAATGTCAACAAAGCAGAGTATAATCCTGAGGTGATTTTTCAGTGTTTCCAAGAACGTGCATTGGTCTGAACAAAATCCACCCAGCCAGAGCAGTCCTCACACATCATCTAAGGTGCTGAAAACCGTGCAGAGCTCTTGCATGCCAACTGAAGCTGAGAGCAGTCACAATGTGAACCAAAAATGTAACTGGACTCAGTCCATTTAATATTTTGCCAGTCAGCATAGAGTGAGAAAGCTGCAAATGTCCATAAAAAGAAAACTTCATGTCCTGGTATGGTCGTCGAAGCTGTGCAGACTGCCAAGTGCAACATGCTTTTAAAGATCACAAAGAAAAACAGAAGACAAACTGCATATTTCACATGTCTCATGAGGACAAAAATAATTTCAAAAGAGCCTCAAGCCACTCAGCCTTCCTTGAAGTTTATGAGCCTGCTATGTGAAAACTGTTTCATTGTAAAGCTGGTTTTCTATTTAAATGAGCAAGCCTCATTTAAACTCTTTGATGTGATGAACATCTACAGATCCCAGCCAAATCTAGGTCAAACACCAACCTGGCAAATCCCGATCCGAGAAGCCATTTCCTCTTCTGATGTAACCAGAGAGTGTTTGTTCATGTCTGAAACAGACTCGTGTTTTTACTGACGCGACGCTTTGAAGGATTTTGAATTGTGTGACTTTGTGTTGTCATGCAAGAAAAAAGGGGAAAGTGTCGAACCGTTAATGACAATGTGGAAGATGTCCTATTTTAAGCTCTTTTAAGAGAGGATATTTATAGATGTGAGGTATTATAAAAAGAACTGTGCCAACGAAGCTTTCACGTTGTCAGAAAAATGGAGAAAAATAACTGAGGAACAAGAAACACTCCAGAAAAACAATATGTGGCATTCTGATGCCCGAGGTTAACATAAGAACATCGATTTCAACAAAATTGCTTAAATTTCAGAGCAAATTATTTAACAGTTTAAATTAAACCAATGGTTTCTTCAACTGGAATGGTAAAACACAAGAGGAAAGTTCTGCAAGTATTTTTGTTCCCTGTATGTGGATTTAAATGTTTTGCTTTTTTTTTTTTGTCCGTCAAAAATTGGTTTACATCAAAGATAATCTGGGTAAATTCAAAATGCGTATTTTCAAATGATGGTTTCCACCTTTTTTAAAAGAAAAACATCCAAACCAACCTGAGCCTGTGTAAAAAGTGTTTGCCCTCTAAACATAATTCACAACTGCTATCAAGCATTTGCAAAAATGGAATAATGAAAGTTATTTCCATCACTACCGAGAGAATTTCTTTTAATATTGTTTTAATTCAGCCAAACTTTGGGGTTGTTTTTCAAATGTGAAGGGTTCTGTCACATAATTTTAATCAGAAATAAGTCCAAACTCTGATTAAAAATCTTCAGAACAATTTTCTGACATGCAGTGTTAGTTTTTTGTTCCAGAAATAAGAAGTGGCACACTTTATTAAAGTTTCAGTCGACAGAATAATTTCCCAGAAGTCTTGGGGATGACTGAGATGTTTTCTTGAAAAGTGTTCTTTTTGATTAGAAGAGGGATTTCAGTTAAATCAAATTAAATTAAGTCTATTTATAGAGCACCAATTCCCAATTGAGCACGTAGTTCCAACAGCCAACCACATATCAGCAATTACTCAAACCTAGCAAGCATGTAGAGACAGTGGAGAGGAAAGACCCTCCTTTAACAGGAAGAAACTTCCAGCAGAACCAGAACCAGGCTCTGTAAGAGAAGACAGAGCAGATACACAAAAAGCAACAGACCAGATGTAGCTTCTATTGAGAGAAAAAAGTAAGAAAAAACAAAGTTAACTGTTAAAAAAAGAAAATAATGCAAATTGGAGAGTAGTCTACTCGTTAGGCCTGGGTGTGTGCAGAAATAAAAGTGTTTAATCACAGATAATTCATGATTTACCAAGGAAGTAGCTAATAGCTAATAATAGATGATAATTACCTGCATTTTGTATTTCCCCAGGTTACCTTCTCTCACATTGAAATCGGTTTGGTCTGAAACTTTTAATTGTGACAAAAAAGCAAACAGAATAAACCTCTTAGAAGGCAAACTATGTCTATCAGCATCACACTGGTATCATCCACGTGATTACACCAAAATGGCTCACTAAACTGTTTGGATCAGGATAAAAGCAAATTACATGGAGTCGCTCTGTACCTGTGATGCATTAAAAACATCAACACCAGGGAGAACAGTTAGCACACAGGATGTGACTTATTTATAGAGAACCGCTGACTGCGACCCTCCTGGAATTTGGTTTGTTTTTGCCATAAATTACATGAACCAAAGATTCAGTGTTATTTGTGTTAAGTTGAAATAAACCAACTCAGTGAAAGTTGGAGCAAGCACAAGCCAGACATACCTGATTATAACAAAATTAACAGAAATAGTCCATGTAAAATTACTTTTTATATTTAAAAAAGTAACATAACTTCCGATGTAAATCAAATGTCAAATAAACCCAAATATTCCCAAAGGAGTTACTTACTATTGGGAGGAGAGGATATAACCCAGTTAAGTCTTAAAAGGCCCAAAAGAAGAAGAATTCATTATTCATGGTATTTCTTTATTTTATGTTCAGGATTGACTTAGACATGATGGCCTGAAGAGATGTTTAAACTGATGGATCATCAGAAGCTGCGACTTTCGTGAAAAGAGAGGACAAGGCAAAGAGGATGTGCCAGGAAGACACTGGGATTTGTGTTTGACATGCCAGAAGGTGTTGGCACTCCAAACTGCTGACTCATGCACCAGGTCTGCAGGGATTATTGGGATTATTAGTTTTTAATGTGTCCTTGGCATTATTTTAAAAAATGTTGCTCCTGTCAGCAGAAACCAGAGGACTGCACGAGCTGAGTGACTAACTCTGGCAGAGATCACAGATTTAAACAGCAGCCTGTGATTACTTTTAGGTTGATATAGCATGCAGCAGAAATATATCCTATATCTACAAACCTGACATGGCACCCTAAAGGAATTGTATTGCATCCAAAGACCCAAAACCTGAATTTCTGTTTAAATACAAAATATCTTATGAGGTTGAATTGTAGCAGTGCATCAACTGGAATTATTACTTACTTGGAATAATTTAACCTTTTTTCCATTACATTTCTTTATATTAAAGTACTGGCATTGACAGTTATAATGAAAAATGTAAAATGTTGATGTTGTTTATGTTTTCAAAACCTCACTAAATCTGGATAGTTCCAGTCAGAAATGCAAATAAACTCATCTGCATCCGTCTCAAATTATTTAGGGGCTTTTAATGATTCATTTGAATCATTCATGTGTAAGAGTGGGATTTGTTGTTCTCCAGCTCTTTTGAAGGGTTTATGATTTTTTTTTTATTAGGAGAGAAGTTGAGTTCATTTCACAAGTTAAAAGTTTATTTGCTGCAACCCAGATTTGATCTGTGTTTCTGATCATTGCCCGCTTTTCTAGATGCTGATTTGACGAAGAATTGAAGAATTTGGAAGAGGAAGTAAGAATAAAATCCCCTCCATTATTTTGCCTGCTACTAAGACCAGTGGCAGAAAAAAAAAGCCATCCAGCAGCATGATGCTGCCATGAATATTGCAGCTGGTAGTGTTTTTAAATTGGCCTAATTCCAGTCAAACAATTTTATGAAATCAAGCCTAAATCAGAAATAATGTTAAAAGGCAAACATTAAGCATTAAAGATTCAGTCATAATGAAGTGTATTTTCAATTTTGATCCAGTATATATGTGATGTTGACTCAGATATTATCTCCAAAGGAAAGTAACCGAAGTGAAACGTGTCGTGTTGTATAAACATGCAGAGGCAAACTGAGATGTACCTTTGCTTCCTAGTTTTGCTGATGTTTCACCAGCATCACAGTTTTTATAGCCACTCTCCTCAGTCTGGCTCAGCATAAATCCAAAGCTTCATGCAATCCAGGGGAATTTTTCTTCAGGGCGGATCTGAAAAGCCCACACAACCATAAACTGCTCTCAGAAAGCAAGTGAGGTCAAAAAAGAAAAAAAAAATGGACCAAATTCCAACATAAAGCATTAACAAATTGTTTTTTTTGTTATTTTCTTTTTAGTATTATTAAGCTGCAGCACATAATCAAGTGCTGCATTAATTTTCAGACTTGTGTTTCTTTTTGTCAGAGCAATCATTAGTCATTGATAACACTTGTCCAGGCCTGCAGTATTATTAGTAATTAGCTTAGTAATGCCAAAGCAATATTTTGTCAAATTTAAATGTCAGCCTTTGGCCGCCTTAACCCCTGCTGAAATGTTGCACTGCAGCTTGACATGTAAAGCCACAACTGTTCTGGTATCTGTCTGCAGCCCTCGTGATATAATAATATACTTACTTTAAATTGCAGCACTCCAGGCTGAAAATAAATCCTGACTCGCTTCCCCTCCTTTGGCTTTATTCTTACTTCCTCTTCCTCTCTGCTCCTTCTTTCACCAGAAAGCTGACTTAGTGCATCCATAAAGCTTAACTAACTGGCAAATCCCTCCCCTCCATCTCACTTGCTGCTCTGACAAGAATATCTGAGAGGTTATTTCCATGCTTTACTGCTCCTCAACGGCCATGAACTCCAGGCCCTTCCTTGTGAGTGGGAAGGAGATGGAAGGTTGCTGAATTAATCTCATGGTCCTTTACGTGAAGCACTGTTACAATTCCGGTGTATCCTTTCTTGCGCATTGAAAAAAATACAGTTTCTCCCCTTACATGGTCCTTCTGTTTCTGCTTTTCTTCACGTTTGCATGTTTACATGACACTTTTTTCAGCTTACAGAAAAAGTTTTTATCATTATAATAATAGTCCTGTTGGTGATTAGCTGAGTTTAATTAATTGATCACCCCCAGGTGTGAATTTGAAACAGTAGATTTTTTTGCAATTGTCTGCATTGTTTTTTGGCATACAGTTGTGTTAACACTATCAAGAAGCCTCAGAAATAACACAGGAGTGGATATTGAATAAAGAAAATAAACAAATAAATAAAAAAGTCACCCCATTGACCAACAATGCCACAGCTCTCAGTTAGCATGTTCAATTAAATTAAAGCATTCTCCAGTCCCATCCATTGACAGGGTGACTTTTCTTTGCTTTTAATGGTCTGAATCTGCAGTTGTAAATACAGAGCAGCAGGAGTTATAATGAGCCATAATGTCTTTAGCATTTGGTAAAGAGGTGTGCCAGTTCTGCTTATTCTATTCTCCTGGTTTTACCCTCCAGTCAATTTAACTGATTTTGATAACACATACATTAGAGCAGTCTCTGCTTTCTCCCAGTGCTCCCAGTTCTAAGTAAAAACACTTCAGCAACCTTCAAGATCAAAGCACAAAATGTATTTTTACATATACCATCAAAAAAATGAGTCCTGTAGAGTTTAAGACATCCATACTAAGATTAAACTTCCTGTACAGCTTCAGTTTTTAATCTGGTGATTTAATAAGATTGAATTTCTTTCTTAGACTTATATATGTTACACCATACTTCTTTCATTTCTCATTTAAAATTTATTTCAAACGTGGAAATCAATTTAATCTGGTAAAGTTAACTTCTGCAAGATGTGACCTTTTTAAACTCACGATGCAGCTCATAGGCCTGGTACTCTACTGCCCTCTAGTGTCAAATAGTTAAAATGTAGTTAATAAATCTTCACTGGTTTCCTCAAACTGAAGCCACTATAGGGAGCACAAAAATTTGTTTTGCTTTAAATTAACTACTCTACTTTGCTCTACTTTGTCGATTCATCACGTGAAATCCTAAACAAATGCATATTTTGTGGGTATGATGAGAACATTTATATTAGTTTTTGCAAGATACTGCATTAGTAATCAAGTCTGGTGAATAAAGGAGTGTGTAAAAAGTTAAATATTTATTTCCAGCTTTAGAAAATTCATGTTTCAATCATATTCTGAAACCTCCTTCTGTTCTTATACTAATACACAGAAAGGTTAAAAATCAATAATCTTACAGCCATCCTCACCTAAAAATTAAAAAGCAAAATCTTTTATTCTTGCTTTAACACATTTACATCAGATCTTTTCCTATCTTTTCGGACAGCATACAACATGGTAACAATGTCAAAAGAACATGCAACAAGACATGTTCTCACAGATAAAATGTTCTCAAGCAAAGTCCATTTCTTTAAAAAGCACACTGTTAAAAGCTAAAGAAGCTAAAGGTAGCTGCCACTTCATTGTCCACCGTTGCAAAAACTGGCATCCCATTTGTGATACAACAACCTGTACAGCAAACACTGATGTACAGGTAAAGCACAGCTTTAGTGGGACATGTTCACTTTTTGTGGCTTTAGCTGAATAAATAAAAGTTAAGTTTGTACATAAAATGCTTTTAAAGATACAGCACACAACTTTTATAAAAATGTTTTTCATTTACATATTTATTAAAACTATCATTTTGTTATGAAATAGAAAATCTGTGAAAAAAACATCAAGTTCTTCTGCTTTCTCCCAGTGCTCCCAGTTCTAAGTAAAAACAACCAACCAGAGCCAGAAAGAGTTTTTGCACTATCAATCATGCCTCTGTATTCTGTCATGCCACATCGCCTTTCTGTCTTGAATGCTAAGGCTAGTTAGCATGGCATATAAACATGCTAACTGTAGTCCTGGAATGGTAAATTATTTCTCTGCCATTAGCATATTGAGCAGCACATACACAAGTTGATTGACAGAGCCAAGATGCTCCCCCTGGCTGTGACTGATTGTTTTTACTGGGAGAGACGTATTTTTTCAGACCTCTCTAATAGCTTAGAGAAGAGATGGAGGAGCTTGATATTTTCCACAGATTATCCATCTAATTCCATAACTGTCAGGACATAGTGGCAGTTTTAACAAAATGTTAAAAAATTATTTTTTATAAGAGTTTTATGCTGTAGATTTAAAGAGCAGATTTAAAAGTCTCCTGTGAGTGCTGAGTCCATAAGGTCATCGTCTTCGTTTCTCATATATATCGGGCTGGACCGTGACGGACGATCCGAGCCAAGCATGGAGAGTGATGAATCTGATGCTGAAATGGGAGACCGCGACCAACTGTCTGCTTTTGTTGAATGTGAAGACGATCCCATGGACATGGAGGTCTTCTTTTTCTCCTTCTCCCTGTCTCTTTCCCGGTCCCTGTCTCTCTCGCGCTCCTTATCCTTTAGTTTCTTCTTCTCTTTCTTGTGCTTCTTGTGTTTCTCGCCCGAGCTGAGGGGAATGGAGCTCATGTAGTCCTGGGGTGGAAGGGGCCTCACTGTTTGGTCGTCATCTGAGCTGGGGCTGTTCTGGTGGGACTTCTCAGCCACCGAGCTGCTGCCCGATTCGCTCTCGCTGTCCTGGTTCAGAGGGGTGTACCCTGGAGAGCGGCTGTGGCTTGGTGACGATCGGTCGTGCTTCGGAGTGGAGCCACTAAAGAGAGGCGATGCTTTGAGGCCGGAGATTTGTTGACGCATTGACTCTCCAGAACCTTCTCCGGGTTTCTGAAGAGTCACTTTGGCCTTGATGCTTGGCGAGCCACCATCTGGTTTGCTAATGATAATTTTGGCCAGGGTGGTTCCACCTGACCCACTGGTTTTTGGGTCCATCATTTTTTTATCTCCACTGCCACCACCTGTCACCATCACTTTTGCTTTTCCCTCTTTGTCAGACTTTTCCCGCTTATAATCTCCGCTTTGAGAGGATGAGGAATGCTTAGAAGAACCTATGTTCGAAGGACCGCTAGGAACATTTCCAGGCCCACAAGGAGTAGATGTTGATCCAGGACCTCCCACTGGAGTCCCCACCTCACAGCCGTCTTCCCCAACTCCTCCGCTGCCCACACTCTTCAGTTTGTCTATGACTGCTGTTAGAGAAGGCTTCTTGTTTCTACTGGGAGACTTCCCTTTGGCGTTGGGGTTATTTGAATTGTTCTGACCCGCACCTCCACCACTTCCGCCACCATTTCCTTCGCTTCCATTGCCTCCTCCTCCCCCTCCACCGCTGCTGTACTGCGACTGAGATCCACTGGAGAAGCTCATGGAACCAGATGATGAGGTAGAGGAGGAAGATGTAGAACCAGAAGAACCTCCACCACCTGGTTTTTGGGAACTTCCACCAGAAGAAGACTTAGATCCTCCTGAGCTGCCACTTCCTGATCCAATTGGAGACTTAGCTTTGGAAGATGGAGGAGTGCCTGGAACTTGGGATTGCTGCATTTTCATTGGAGAGGAGAGCTTATCACCAGAGCTACTGGAGCGGGAA